GTTCGTGCCACGGTCCGGGAAGATCCCACATGCTGCGGAGCGGCTGGGCCCGTGAGCCATGGCCGCTGGGCCTGCGCGTCCGGAGCCTGTGCTCCACAACGGGAGAGGCCACAACAGTGAGAGACCCGCATACCCGAAAAAAAAAAGAAGATTGTAGAGGAACTGCACTTGTATCCTAGTAGGGAATCCTAAGTTAAGATCAAACAAATAACTGTCACTTAAGACAAAGTAAAGTTTCTGTCATGAGAGAAATTACAGAATTATTTGGTATTTGTATGTGTGTGTATGTATATAGCACAGCTTTTTATTAATTCAGGTCCTCAGCCTTTAGGACACTTCTTAGACTCTGTATGGTAGCATTTTCCACAAGCTAATAATGCTAACAATAATACTGTAAATTTAAAGTTTACCAAGTGCTATCACAGATTTAAAAAAAAATTCTGCCCTCAAGATTACCTTTGCTAGGTAAGCAAGCATCATCTCTGGGTTTTTTTTGTTTGTTTTCTTTTTTTGTTTGTTTGTTTGTTTGTTTTTTTGCGGTATGCGGACCTCTCACTGTTGTGGCCTCTCGCGTTGCGGAGCACAGGCTCCCTACATGCAGACTCAGTGGCCATGGCTCACAGGCCTAGCCGCTCCGTGGCATGTGGGATCTTCCCGGACCGAGGCACGAACCCGTGTCCCCTGCATCGGCAGGCGGACTCTCAACCACTGCGCCACCAGGGAAGCCCCATCTCTGTTTTTCAACAGAGAAACAGTCAAGTGCTTGCTCAGTGTCACTCAGCTGGTAAGCAGTAGACCCCAAATTAGAATCCAGAAATTATGACTCTTCTATGTGTTTTAATATTATTTATGATTTTAATGTAATATGACTTAAATATTTTTAAATCTTTGATTGGACATGGAAAGGTAATAATATAGAAACAGGAATCATGCTTCTGCTAAAAAAGAAAAATAATTTCAAGAGTAATTTTAATTTATTGATAGATTTTACAATGCAATCACTGTTTGTTTTTTGTTTTTTGTTTTTTGTTTTTGTTTTTTGTTTTTTGCGGTACGCGGGCCTCTCACTGTTGTGGCCTCTCCCGCTGCGGAGCACAGGCTCCGGACGCACAGGCTCAGCGGCCATGGCTCACAGGCCCAGCCGCTCTGCACCATGTGGGATTTTCCCGGACCAGGGCACAAACCCGCGTCGCCTGCATCGGCAGGCGGACTCCCAACCACTGCGCCACCAGGGAAGCCCAATCACTGTTTTTTAAATAAATTTATTTTTGGCTGTGCTGGATTTTCGTTGCTACACGCGGGCTTTCTCTAGCTGCGGTGAGCGGGGGCTACTCTTCGTTGTGGTATGCGGGCTTCTCATTGCGGTGGCTTCTCTTGTTGCAGAGCAGGGATTCATTAGTTGTGGCACACTGGCTCAGTAGTTATGGCTCACAGACTCTAGGGTGCAGGCTCAGTAGTTGTGGTGCATGGGCTTAGTTGCTCCGCTGCATGTGGGATCTTCCTGGACCAGGGCTCGAACCCGTGTCCCCTGCATTGGCAGGTGGATTCTTAACCACTGCGTCACTAGGGAAGTCCCAATAGCACAATCACTTTCTAACAAGGTCACCACAAAAGTCTCACATTCCAAACCAAGTATAAACAAAAGAAAGTTATTTATCATTCTTGTCTCATCTATAAAACTTCTCAATTAAGGAATAGAATGCTTATACTGAGAGAAGTTAGTAATAGAGCCATAATTACTTGTCCAAAAGGATTCAAAACTGATAGAATGTATGATTTGTCTATTTCTTCTATTTTGACAGGTGCTCTGTAGCATTTCTAGACATATATAATTAACATCAGAAATATGTTTTAAAGATTATAGAGTTAAAACAGTTTAATCAAAGCATGATTTATATTTTAATAAATTGCAAGTCATTTGGTTTACTGTCTCCATAATTTCAATATTTCTTTGTTTACTAAATTTTTATACCATTAAATTGAATGGTATAATTGCATATCTTTTAAAGAGATATATTTATTGTCTTGGTCTTTGCTCAATGAAGGATATATTTATAATGTCAGGATTTGCCACTGTGGAAAGAATAGATCTAATGGCATACAAGTTTAACAAATGAGAGAAGCCACCAGGAAGAAAAGATCCTCATCAAAATTTAGTCTTCTGTATGCAGATGTAGAGAATGGACTTGAGGACACAGGGAGGGGAAAGGGTAAGCTGGGACGAAGTGAGTCAGTGGCATGGACATATATACATATATACCAAATGTAAAATAGATAGCTAGTGGGAAGCAGTCGCATAGCACAGGGAGATCAGCTCGGTGCTTTGTGACCACCTAGAGGGGTGGGATAGGGAGGGTGGGAGGGAGACTCAAGAGGGAGGAGAAATGGGGATATACATATATGTATAGCGGCTTCGCTTTGTTATACAGCGGAAACTAACACACCATTGTAAAGCAATTATACTCCAATAAAGATGTTAAAAGATTTTTAAAAATTTAGTCTTCTGTGTTGCCTGAGATTCCACCTAGAATTGTAGCCGTGAGTTATGTCTTAACAAATGAAAATCTCAAAGAGTCTAATTTAGATGCAGAACATTAACTTTAGGATTGATAAATGTTCTGCTGCATACTATTTAAGTAAAAGCTTAATAATACTACATTGCTAATAAAAGTGTATTTTAATTTATATGGTAATAAAATAATAGAAAGATTATATATAAAAGCTGAAATCAATATGTGTGTTTATAGCACCATCTGTGCGACAAACAGGTAGACTTGAATTTTTGAAACCTTTCTTCTGTTTCTTAGTATACAAAAAGCATTGCTTTTAGATACCATGGTAGGGGGGTGGGGGTGGATACATAGGTTAACAAAGGCACAGTCCTCTCTCAAGCCTTTGCTAGGGCCGTGGCTGAGGAACAGCCATAATGCTATGGGAGCTAAGAGAATGGAGAAGCTACTTGGTTGGAAAAAAGGAGACAACTGCAGAGAAGATTTCATAAAGGAGGAAATACTAAGCTACTCTTTATGCATGAGAGAGATTTCAGCAGAAGGAAACACCATGTGTAGAGTCTTCAATGTAGAAATGGCTGAAAGTTTTGGGGAAGGGCAGACAAGTTTGACTGCAGATGATGTGTGACTGAAACACAAATTGAAGTTAAATCTTACAGAGCTTTATTATAACCACAAACATCTGAGCTTTATTCTATTGGGCTGAGGAACCCCTGAAGAGTTTTGAATAGAGAATAACAGGTCAGTGTTGTCTTGGGAAGTTGTATAAAAGATGGTTTGAACGTAGAGAAAGGTTGCCTATAGGGGAAAGGTTATTGCAGTGGTCTTAGTAGGATGATGAGTCTGCATTAAGAAAGTGGCAGGGGCTTCCCTGGTGGCGCAGTGGTTGAGAGTCCACCTGCCGATGCAGGGGACACGGGTTCGTGACCCGGTCCGGGAAGATTCCACATGCCGCGGAGAGGCTGGGCCCGTGAGCCACGGCCACTGAGCCTGCGCATCCAGAGCCTGTGCTCTGCAACGGGAGAGGCCACGACAGTGAGAGGCCCGCATACAGCAAAAAAAAAAGAAAGTGGCAGAAGGAAACGAATATGAGAAATATTACATAATTTATAGAACCTGACGATTGGGCACAGAGAATTAATAAACAGGGAGGGAGATGTATTCAACCTTGAATGATAACCAGGAAGATTTTCAGACTTAGGGAAATTATGAGTTTGCTTTTGATTTTTCTTGTTATTTGTTACCTTTGGGACAATCCGGGGATGAATATTTTCTGAAAAATATAAAAAAACACGCTTTTAGATCATAGGTTAAAATATAGCCAAAGACATTTTTTTTTCACCGAAACATACTTGTTATTTCACCAAAACGTACTTTAATCTCAAATATATCAAGCCCTAGTTTTGAATTCATGATCTAAAATATTCATATTTAACAGTATACACATGTATACACAAATATATATGTAATTACAGATTTATTGATATACTTTTTAGAAATTGTGTTTAAACATAGTGTTAATACTTAAGTAACTTATGTCCCATATATGTATGACTGTACATGTTAGCCACATCTTCTACTGTTTTAACTAGAATTCTTAACAGAGAAAGCATTTTTTCCACCTCTGAGAGACTTCAGTACCATTTTGTATAATTGTTCCTTATGTTAAGCTACCATTATTATAAGCTTCTTTGGAATAATAAAGTAATAGTGCAGTTATCCTCTTAAGGATCTCTAAGTTGTTATGCCATTATAGCTTGGTGGCGTTCTGCTGACTACAGATGGGTGAATGAAAGGGGCTAACGTTAAGGCGGTTTCTTTTATAGTTTCATAAAAGTATTACCAGTATGCCATTTAGTAAAATGTTCATGTTATTAAAAATTTTAATGTAAGGAGTTTAGTGCAATCTACCTCAACATTACAAAGAGGACTTGTCAACTATCAATCAAGTGCATAAAACTGAGTGAATGTGTTTGTATGCTATTTATTTGAACTAAATGTCTAATAAGCCTCTTCTGCTAATTGGACTTAACGTTTCTGTTGCTAAATGAGAAGCATTTTGGCTGCTGTATAGGTTAGTAAGACCTACCCAGTGGAATAAACAACTAACATCTGTTATCCTGTCCTGCTCCAGCTTGACTTTTACCAGTTAAGTACATCAGCCCTGAAGTCAAGGTTATCAAATATGTGAATCTCTGGCACACCCATGTTTATGTGAAGGCAAAGAAATAGCACATCATGAGTAAAGACTAGCCAACCAAAAGATATTGAGTACAGCTGGTCTATTTTGTTTTAACCTTTACAAGCCCTACAACCTTAAGCAAAAACTAGTGGAAGTTAGAAATTTTGTAGTTTTTATAATAACTATTTTTGTAATCAGTGTCACTTTTTTCTTTAGCATTTTCCTACCTTGTACAGTTTGATGCTGATAATTGTTAGGTTAAATGTAATTACTTTTATAATAAATTTATATTTATTTTCTTTAAAAAGAAGCTAAATTCGGATTTGGCTGAGCTTCGGAAAGAAAAAGAAGATTTACTAAAGAAATTGGAGCCTTCATCCGAAATCACAAGTTTGGCTGAAGAAGTTGCCCAGGTAACAGTTCCACGGATACAAGTTACATCACTTGGCCCTTCAAGGAGCATGGATTTGGAAATGAAGCAATTGCAGTGTAAACTAAAGGTGATTATAAATTTTATTAAAGATGAAAACATTTATTAAGTTACTGAATCCTTAAAGACATGTTTCTATCAATTCTAATTTAATTCTACTAATAAAGGTAAATTATGGTATAAATAATCCCTAAATTAGTAATACTACATTCAATCTCATCTTTCTATTTTAGCCTGGTAGATTCTTATCTGGTAACTTATAATACTATTCTCTGAAAAAATAGCAAGACACCATGAAATCCTAACTTAGGAGACGAAGGAAACTGGCCATTATCATTCTATTCCACTATTCAACTCCTCTCTGCCTGCCACTGAACAGAATTCTTTTTGAACATAATAATGTATCAACATAAATAGAATTGCTTTCCTGTACACATTTTGCTGCTGTTTTAACTTGGTGGTTCTTTGTTGGAGATGGGGAAGGAGGAGGGAATTAGGGGAAAGGAGAAGAAGCACAGAGCAAAGGTGAGTTGGTTTAATCAAGTTAAACCTGAGAGTGAGAATAAAGACCAGTGTTCCTTTTGCTTATAAAGAATTGTGTCTAAGTCCAGGTGAGACTGTCAACAACTTAAAAGTAAGGCTGGCCTTAGTTTTTACCCATATATAAATCTCTCTCACTTTGAAGGAATGTGTGAGTTACAAAGGTGAGACTAATGAGAATGCCTAAAGCAATTTAGATGTAAGTTTGAAGTGACATTGTCCATATCTAACCTGGAGTCCTGGAACGCTGACCAGGCTGCATAGGGACAAAAAGGGTAAATCTTTACTTTTGTCTTATTTCATGCTTTAATATGGAAATATTCTGGAAGACTAGGTACTTTGAAGTAAATAATACTCTTGATACTACAAATTTCTGTTTCGACATTGTATGAGGTTGCTAGGGCTGCCATAACAAAATACCACCGAGGGCTTCCCTGGTGGCGCAGTGGTTGAGAGTCCGCCTGCCGATGCAGGGGATACGGGTTCGTCCCCCGGTCCGGGAAGATCCCACATGCCGCTCCCGGCTGGGCCCGTGAGCCATGGCCACTGAGCCTGCGGGTCTGGAGCCTGTGCTCTGCAACAGGACAGGCCACAACAGTGAGAGGCCTGTGTACCGCAAAAAAAAAAAAAATACCACCGAGTGGCTGGCTTGAATAATAGAAATTTATGTTCCCATAGTTCTGGGGTTTAGAAGTCCAAGATCAAAGTATTGACACGTTTGATTTCTTCCAAGCCCTCTTTCCTTGGCCTGTGGATGGCCGCCTTCTTGCTGTGTCTTCACATGGTCACCCCTCAGTCTATGAGGTCTGTGTCCTAATTGCTCCTCTTATAAGGACACCAGTCATGTTAGATTAAGGCCCACCCATGTGACCTCATTTTACTTTAATTACCTCCTTAAAAGCCCTATCCAAATACATTTTGAAGTAGTGGAAGGGGAGGTTAGGACTTAAACATATGAATTTTGCCAGGACACAATTCAGCCTATAACAGGTATCAGATTGCTAACATAATAAATTTCTGAGAAATAGCTTATTTTCTACTTGATGTTTTCTATGCCTAGTAAAACAAAAATGGTTACATTTGAATCTCTTAAAGGTCTACATCCATCTTTTTTATTTTATCCAATTAATATTAGACTTTTCTATGTAAATTCTTAGGTGTACTTCTGAGATGTACATGGTTCATTCAGAAATTAGAGTGCTCATGTGCATTTCTGTGTCTTCATTTTTACCCATATTAGACATGTTTCCTCAAGGAACCCAACTTTATATAGATAGATAATAAAATATTTAGTGACATATAAATTCCGGTGAATGATATATACATCAGTTATTTATATTTAGTTTAATTTGTGGTTCTTTATACAATCTGGATTGAGTAGTACTCCAACTTATATTTGTGATTTTTTTTGACCTCCTGATTGTTGAAAGGATACCTTTTGGTATATACCATGTTCTCTTCCAGTTTTCCAGTAAGATAATAATGAAGAATAATAGTTTTTAAACTACTGTTAATTTATATATAATCTATTGCCAATCTAGTTCTAAGTCCTTTAAAAATGTTAACTCATTAAATACTCGTTTCAACCCTATGAGATAAATTCTGTTATTATATCTATTTTACAGTTAAGCAAACTGAGTACGTTAATTGTCCAAGGTCACACAGCTACTAAGAGATAGAGCTGAGATTAGAACTCAATCCATAAGGGCTCCAGCATCCATGCTTTTACTCATTTTGCTCTGAAAAATTTTTAAAGTGTTTAATAAGCTTAAACAGGAAAGCTCTAACCAAGATAGATTATTACCATTATGACATCTTTGAAATATGTGTTTTACTCCAGATTTTGTCATGCTGCAAATAAGTATTATGTTGTAGGAAATGGAAAAGGGTCAGAGGACCTGGGTTTTGATCATTTTTTGTCCAGTAACTTCTTGTGTGTGGGACCTGACTGAGGAAATTACTTAGCTTCTCCAGAGGTCTAGAGCAGGAATACCTTTCTACCCTCTTCAAAAGGGTTTTTGAGGATTAAACAAAATAACTGTGAGACTTAGAGGGTCTGGCAAAAGTATTTATCAAGCTGGCATTGTTTTATTTATTATAATTCTGTAATCCCTCAATTATCCAGAAGTCAAAATTACAGCATTTTTCAGCCACCTAAAATAACAGGCTTAAGTCTAAAAACATAAAAGAATCAAACAGCTGTCTTAAAATCCACTTAATTTATTCTGTTGAAGATATTGTCAGGGTTCATTTACTGCCTTTTGTCTTTTTTTTAAAATACAGCTGTAATGAGTTTATTTGTTTAACTTTTCAGCAGAAAACACCTCAAAAGCAGCAAATTAGAAGTATGTATATTAAGGGCCAGGATGCTTGTTTTTAGGCAGGAATATTGAGAGAATCAAGAAATTATGATCAACAGATTGACAGAAAAAAAATATAAAAATGCTAAGGTAGAAATACAAAATTAGAAAAACAGCAGCCTGGGACCATTCAGAGTAGGGCTGAGTAGCCATTTATATCATAATAGTTCTTAAAGGCATCATTATATAATGATACAGTGATAATAAATTAGATACAGTAATATAGCATAATTAATATAGTGATAATATTTATAATATATCATTATATTACAGTATCACTATTGCTTAATGTAATTGTGGATTGTCATTTCTAAATGAATGAACAATCATCCCGGAAAGAATTTAAGTTTAATGATTAAAGCAAAAGCTTCAATTTTTTGGTAAATTTACTAGTGTGGAACATCTTACTCTGGCAATGCTAGAAATAAGACACCATATGTCACTGTAAACATGTAAAATATGATGGAAATTTAGATTGTGTAACACAAAATTTAATCAAAACTTTTAGCATTCAATACAGTTGCCAAGTTGAGGTAGCCTTGGGTTTTTAAGAAAATTAATATAATATTTAATGGAAATTTAAAATTTACATATGCCATACCAATGAGCTATTTAAAGTCTGTCTGATGAATTTGACTCACATTTACATTGTGTGGTTAATGGTTTCATCTTTTCAGATTTATATTTTTTAGAATAAGTTAGTCAAACCTGGAAATAGTTCTCATAGAAACAATTAACTATAGTTATTAGAAAAATTAGCGAAATAACTACTACAAATACTTTTAAAGTTATATTTTATTCTATTTATATTATTTAATACTTTTTAAATTTAACAAATGAATTAATGTATGTCAATGCTGTCTTACAGGTAGAAAAACCAAAATATCAAATCACTAAATAATATCTCAGAGTACATGTTTTCTTGGAACTTGAGTCAAAATTGAAAGTTAGGTGTCCCTAACACTCTGGCTCCTAGGCCACGCAGACAACAAATACCACAAAGGTGTTCTGCTTTGAAAAACTAATAATTATGTATAAATACTTTAATAATTAATATTGTTTATAAGTTCAAGTAAGGAAGTATTCAGTATTCATAAGTTTCTTTATCAGTTATCTTTTACTATCTAACATTATCCTAAAATGTAGCAGCTTAAAACAGCAGCAATTTATTATTTCTTATGATCCAGTGGGTTCACTAGGTAGGTCTTTTGCTGCTGTCTGCTGGGTCCCCTCATATGACTGCATTCTTCTAAACCAAGGATTTACCTGAGCTGGAAGTTCCAAGAGAGCCTCACTCAAAGGCTGGCAGTTGGTCTGCTGGCTGTCATCTGGGGTACCTCAGTACTCTCCCAGATGGCCTTTCCCCTATATTTGTTGGAAGGTGATCCCAGAGCAGCATTCCAGGAGGGCAAAGATGCAAGCTAGAAGGATTTAGGGCCTAGATCTGATATTTGCACAGTGTCATATGCCACATACTTTTGGTCAAAGCAAATCGCAGGCCAGGCCAGATTCAAAGGGTTGGGAGACGGATTACACCTCTTGATGGGAGGTGCAGCAAAGCTTTGTGACTATATTTAGTCTGTTACAGGTAATTAGTAAATCCAGAATTAGTTTTAAGTGATCTTACTAAACCATAAAAATAATTAATCACATACACATTTACATTTTACAAAATCCATATTTCCCGTAAATGTATTTTGGGTATATACTCTTTGCAGTTATTATGTGAGTGTGTTCCTCTATGATTTTGGCATGTTATATAAAAATTTTAGTGTGCCATGTTATTTCTGTAAGAACATACAAAATGAAGCATATTAAAATGTTTAGATGTTCATTTTAATTATAACCATAATTTTTGCAATTTTATTATCTTCATGAAAATGGCATTTATACTTATGCTGCTTTAGAACAAGATTGAAAGACATATTTGAATTTATGTGTATTTTTAATCTAGAATGCAACTAATGAACTCACTAAACAATCATCAAACTTGAAGTCTCTGAAATCTGAACTCCTAGCAAAAGAAGAACACATAAAGGAAATGCATGAAAAGTATGTGCTTTATATTTTTATCCATTGTATTTGGTGCCACCTAGTGGCGGCTAACTCTATTAAACATTGCACACCAAGAAACAATACCAACTTGTTTGCCTTTCTTAGTTCGTTTTTAAGCCTACACAAGATGAAAGTTTAAAGAATATTACAAATATCATGGTTTATGGCAAGATAGTTACTATTTTTTAATTAGAGTAAGAATGTTTAAAGTTAGATTTTCCATCTTAAACATATTTAATTCTGAATAAATATCAACTAATGGCTGAAAGACTATGAACAGAAAACTTTAGAATGTAGTAATTATTTGACTAAAAATATATGTATAGGTTGATCTTTATATTGGATTTAATGCCTAAGCTTATAAAGCGAAGGTTGAAAAAAAGTGGAAGTTTTGTTTGCGTTTAAAATAACTGGAGGGTTATGAAATATTATAATACTTTGTGTATTTATACTAAAAAGGAGTTTAAAATGTTCTATCTCACAGAATCAAAATTATTTCCTTTCTATATCTTTTATAGATATACTAGAGCTTAGAAGTTGTAACATGTTTAGAAAGAATTCTAATCATTCATAATTTGAGATACATGTACCTCATGTACATACATGTATACCACGTTATAAGTGAAGATCACTTAAAATCTTAACAGATAAAACTATTAGGCAAAAAGATTGGTTAATTTTTTTAAAAGACTATCTTGAAGCTTATTTATGGACTGAGTTAGTCTTGCTTACTGTTTACCAGTGAGAACTTTAGAGAAACATTCTTTGAATCCTGGCTTCTTTACCTGCTAGCTCTGGGACTCAATTTAATAGAATTAACTCATAAAGTTCTTAGAATTAAATGAGTTAGTACTTATAAGTGCTTTATTTATGTAAAGCACTTATAACAGTGACTGGCACATAGTAAACACTCAATAAATGTTAGCTGTTGTTCTTTTTATAGTAGTAATTGTAGTAGTTGTTACTGCATCTATCATTTTATACTTCGCGTTATCAATTTAAGCTAAACTGATATGTCAGTTCAATCTCATATGATATTAAATTAGAACTGATATGTCAGTTCAGTCTCATATGATATTAAATTTACATAGCTTTAAAGTGAAAAAGAAAAACTATTTTCTTCGGCTATTCTTTGAAATGTATAATAAATGTATAATATTATCAAATTTTATGTTTGTTTATTAGAGTATAGAATTCTTGCTTATCGGTGTTGTGATTTTTGATAATCTCTAAATATTGCTTTGTATTTTTCTTAGAATGCAAAAATGGAACATAAATATAATAATTTTAAGTTTTCATAAATTTTATTAATTTGTCTCAGTTCTTTTTTAATGTATATATATATATATATATAAAATACTGTAATTACCAAGTCACAACTGGATTATAGATTTTAATATTTTACTCAAATTATTAATAAAGCAATACTTTATGCCATGCAATTATTTTATTAACTTGCAGCTTCACTAATATCAGATAGCATTTAAAAATTAACAGTAGGTATAACATTGGATAATATGTAAGATATTATCATTGTTGAAGTATTTTCTATCACTCTTGATAAAGTGTCTTTTTTTCCCTTTCAAGGATGTCTCGAATGGAGAGAGATATAACCATGAAAAGACATTTGATAGAGGACTTGAAATTTCGACAGAAAGTAAATTTGGAAAGTAATGAGAGTATTAATGGAATGCTAGAAAATCTTGAAAAAAAGGTATCAATTTTTATGTTCACTGACACTGAAAAAATCACTTCCCCTTGTATTAACTTTAACTCAAATATTCAATCTTAATAAAAGGTATAGCAAATATTCATAAAATGTATGTGTATTGTTACATAATTACATCATTTGCTCTGAAGGTACATTATTTGTTTTAAAATTCAAGACTCCAAACAGTCACACATAATATAGTCATTCATTCTTTTTATATTTGTAAACATACCATGAGAAGATAATCAAGTTTAATTTTTTTAATCTTTAATATTTCTGGGACACATAATTCCATTTTATTCAGATTTTATTTTATTTAAAGCTATTATTTATAATGATAGAATTAAGCATATATTTTAAATGAAAAATATTATAGTCAATGACTATCAGTTCTTTAAAAAGTGTACTCACCACGGTTTTTTTTAAAGTGTACTTTTTCCTTATATACATTTAATTCAGTGTACTTAGGAAAAGAGTCATATTTAAAATAGTTGTATAATATCTGATCCCAAACTAGAAATCAATGATTTGCTGACTAAGAGATATTTTTTTGCTTAAAAATTTTTAAAGCTGCTATTTACACAAATCATAAAACAAATCATAAAACAGCTTGTGCTTTGGCATTCACTAAATGTCATCCACTCCAGAGAGAGCGTTTCCCTTACTTTCCTTGTTGGAGATAAAAATGTAAGTAATGCTCAGATGGATTTAAGAGAGAAAATTTTACATGAGCAAGACACATGCATACAGATTTTCTTTTCTCTTTCTCCTCCACAGACCCACATGAATTATAATTACTTCGTAGAGGTTTCTTCAATGCTATTCTTAAAATTTTGCTCATTTTTTTTAACTTCAATAATCATTTAAGGTAGTCTTACAATGTTTGTGTAAGTAATCATTTATCTTTAATAGCTTTAAAGTGAAAAAGAAAAACTATTTTCTTTGGCTATTCTTTGAAATGTATAATAAATATGTTGTATTATTTAATTTTATCCTAAAAAGTACATGTTATACTTTTACTGGAGAATACAAATGAAAAGTATCCATGACTTGGCTTATTTAAGAATCAAAACCAACCATCTGAGCTTCCCTGGTGGCGCAGTGGTTGAGAGTCCGCCTGCCGATGCAGGGGACACGGGTTCGTGTCCCGGTCCGGGAAGATCCCACATGCCGTGGAGCGGCTGGGCCCGTGAGCCATGGCCACTGAGCCTGTGCGTCCGGAGCCTGTGCTCCGCAACGGGAGAGGCCACAACAGTGAGAGGCCCGCGTACCGGAAAAAAAAAAAACAAAAAAACAACCATCTCCTACTTAAGGAAGTTTAGGTTAGTAATTAAAAGAAATATAGTTAAAATTAATTGTATATTATTAGATAGAAGGCTACACATACCAATATTCATGCTTTTTTGTGCAATTTTGGGGTTTTGCTATTGATTTCAGGATTGTTAGTCTCATTCACAGTATGAGTTCTACAGATCTTATACTTGAATTTGATATCATTTATGAGAAAATAAACTAGACTTATTCATGTATTCATTTGGTTTCCATTTGAAACAAACACAGTATGGAACTAGAATGCCTTTACCAATAATAATTACCTTCATGCTTTTATTGTAGGTGAAGACATTAACTGAAGAGTGTTCCAACAAGAAGGTATCAATCGATTCACTAAAGCAAAGACTTAGTGTCGCTGTAAAAGAGAAGTCACAGTATGAACAGATGTATCAGAGAACTAAAGAGGAGTTAGAAAAAAAGGTATGGTTTTAGGACATTTTAGCCTGGAGGTGGACTGTAACAATGTCTTTTTCATTTTTAAAGTTGTCCTTTTTTTTCTCCCCAAAACTACTATGAGCTATTTAAATGTTTCAGATAACTGCAAAGAACATTTATATCTCTACATAAAACACTAAGAATTTGTTTACTATTAAAGGTAATGCTGTATTAGAGAGACAGATTTACTTATCTTGATAATTTCTAATAAATGAAAACTATTGTTAACTGGCATTTATATAAGTGGATATAAATTTTTAGGTCCACCTAAACTTATAAGCTAATTAAATACTTCCATTTGACATATGAAATCTTTCGGTCTAAAATGGCTTCCATGTTTTTAGTGATTTATAATTTTTAAAAAGCATAAACTCATTTTGATGATAAATATATGATAATGTGTGTGCAGGATATTCATTGAAAATAAACAAAAACAACCATCAATTCTACTCAAATAAAAATGAATACAAGATACAGAGAGAGTAATGAAACCCTTTCCTTATATGACATCTCTAACTAACATCCAAATCTGTTTAAGAAATTTTTTTTTATTCTATGATTACTGGTCATTTGCAGGATCTCAAGCTTACTTTCCTCATATCAAAAATAAATGAGACTGAATCTGCTATGGCAGAAATTGAAACAGCAGCATCTAAGCATCTTCAAGGATTAGCAATGCAAAGTGAGCAGGCCCTAGAAGGTGCACAGAAGAAATTGCTGCTAGCCAATGAGAAAGTGGAAGAGTTCACCATATTTGTGAAGGTTTGAATTCTTTCTGCTTTACTAACTTGTACTTTACTTCAGGCAGAGTGGGCAGTGGCCTACTTCAGATGATTTGGGAAGTACGTTTAAGTTCCTTTCTGCTTTCCTAAACCACAAAGCATCTTCCCCTACTTGCCACACTGTTCAAATTTTCTCTATAACAGATTTGTTTTTATAGCTTGATTTTAAAAATGTCCACTCTATTATTATATTCTTTCCTTAATGTCAGTTTAGTTATGAAATTGTGGTAATCACATAATCAAGACGGGTGGGTTTTTTTTTTGTTTTTTTGATTATTTTTATTTTTGGCTGTGTTGGGTCTTCGTTGCTGTACGTGGGCTTTCTCTAGTTGCAGTGAGCGGGGGCTACTCTTCATTGCGTGTGCAGGCTTCTCATTGTGGTGTCTTCTCTTGTTGTGGAGCATGGTCTCCAGACGCTAGGGCTTCAGTAATTACGGCATGCGGGCTCAGTAGTTGTGGCACTCAGGCTCAGTAGTTGTGGCTTGCGGGCTCTAGAGAGCAGGCTCAGTAGTTGTGGCGCACAGGCTTAGTTGCTCCGTGGCATGTGGGATCTTCCTGGACCAGGGCGCGAACCCATGTCCCTTGCATTGGCAGGCAGATTCTTAACCACTGCGCCGCCAGGGAAGTCCCAAGACAGATTTTAAGACAAAAGAATTGAGTCATTTTCATTCCACTCTCCTTTTAAAAATCATCAAAGCAAGAACAACCAGAAACTTGCTCCATGATAATTGAACTTAAGAGACATTGCACCCCAGCCCATGACCTATCAGACATGGAATGGATAGAGGAATGGTAAATGATCTAGCAGGACAAAAGGAAGACAAGCTGAAGTGTCTGCAAAGGGTGTACCATCTGGAAATTATCTGACCACTGAAGACTCCCAGAACGGTTCTGGCCTTGGCTGCACAAGGAACCACCAAAGCCAAGGGTGGTGGGGGAGAGGAGAATACCAGGCTAAAATGGGTGTTTTGTTTGAAAGTCTTTATAAGGAATTTTTAGACCTCTGGCCTGTACTTCTGCCCCACATGGTCAGCCAGTATTCCTCCCTTAACTATTCTGGAAAAACTCAGGAGGAGCAGTTCTAGTTTCAGAGATATGAGGCACTGAGGGGGGGAACCTGGTGATTGCTCCACTCATTTCAATCCCACTGTGAGTTGTTTGCACCCCTGTTTAGTGCCTTTTATTCTGCCTCGTATTATAGTCAGCAAACGGATCTGTTTCCATTATATAAATTATGATGAGTTCCTTAAAGTCAAGAACCACGTTTTATTAATCTCTACCTCCACAGCATGTACCATAGTGACTTGCAAAGAGATGGCAGGCAATAATGATCACTAACTAATCAAACTGAATTTCTCTTAGGAATATGAAATTTTAATAAAAGCCCTTTTGGCCTTTAAAAATAAGAATTAAGATAATTGGACTACTGTGGGAGGGTAAATCTTTACTTTCCCCCTTTTATCTCCTGAAGTTGCAATGTTCTCTTTTTTTCTAAACCAATCTTCGATGAGATTGAGTTCTTCCCGCTACTGTTCCTTTGGCTGGCATATATTATTAAAAACTTGCCTATCATAACAGTAGAAACTTATTTAAATATATAAATATTTTTAATTGATGGATTATAAAATTAAAGTTTAAATGTCCTTCTATGGAATAAAATAACATCAACACTTACTGTCTTCTTTCTCAAATAACCCTACTATTATTTGAACTACTCAACTAGACTTGCTGCATATATAATTATTATATATATAAATATGTTAGTGTTCTAAAAGCATTTACCCCCTTAGGTATTGATCTTATTTATAAGAATTAACATTCCTGGACTTATAACTTGAATATAAGATGGCAAATAACTGGATCTTATGTGTAGTACCATTTTTTTTATTCCTCTAAAAATAACAGCTTACAACATTTTATGCCAGTGTTAATAGTACCCCATTTAGAACAAATCCCTTACTTCGTTTCTTTGGAAATCATAGATACCTTGGGAGTTTTCTCATTTAAAAAATATCTACAAAATGAATGGAATAAAACATTTTATCTCTTTCAATGAAGGTTTCAAATGGTATAAAGTCAGACCAATAATGCTTGCCTCAGAGGACTCTAAATGATTGCAGAGTATTAATTTAAATTTATTAATTTAATCGTATTTCCTTTTCCAGATTTAAAATGTCATTCCTTCCAAATGCTTGTTGAATAGTCTCACTGTTTAACTTATGATAAGCACTCTCATTGAATATTGTCGTTATTTTGCTCATGATATAGAGCTATTTTTATTATGACTTTTAGCTTCATAAACCTTTGTTTTCCATGTTTTATATTCAGCTTAGAGTTGCATTTTTTGTACTGTTAGCCAATATATAAAATATGAAATGCACATTTATAAGATTTACTCAAATGCTAATTATGGTTTTTCCTAAAGTATTCCTTGAACATGTCCTGTTTAAAAAAGAATTGATAACCAGAAGTTTTTAAAATAGAAAAATGAATTTTATGATTAGATATCTGATTATTATAGACTTGTTGAAGTTTCATGACCTTTATGATAATGTAATGGGTGTACTTCTTCACATAGAGTAGTTTGGCAAAAATTATCTTTTAAAAAACAAACTTCTTACTATTCATGTCCAAGGATATGAATAGTATTTAATGATATAGTGAATGTCTCATCTCTAGTTGTTCGAGAGTAACATACTAATCCTTCATGTATTTCACCAACAATGATATAGAGTATAGATGTCCTAGTAGATAAATTCAGGATTGCCATGGTTTCATGACTTTTTAATTTGAGTAACATACTAAAGGTCCTATAGTAGAGAATGATAGCAGATATGGATAAAACATTTTTAGTACTCTTTCAGAAATTTTCCATGTTGTTTCAGTTTGGTATTTAGATTGCTTGCATTAGAATCAACAGATTCTATTACATTTAAATAAAATTCATAATTCCGGGCATTATTGAATCAAAATCTTGGTTGGGGTGAGACCCAATAATCTGCATATAACAACTAGGTGATATTATGCATTAATACTGTTTTGAAAACAATGTTTTTTTTTAAAGCCCAACATTGCTTTTATGGATTGAATCTATATAACAAAATATTTATCAGTTTGGTATTTAATAGCACCTTTTACCACTCATAACTTCTAATGGTAATTTGACATTTGTTTTACTTAACTTTGTTTTAGGGTCAATATGTATTTGATAATGGTACCACTTCTACTGCTTAATCCATTTCGCTAATAAAGGGCCACAAGCAAACTAATGCCCAAAGCAGAAACATTGGCAAAGACTGGATATTTGGGTCTGAAGAAGGAGATTACTGTCATCCTTCTCTTCCTCACACGTATAGCCCACCCTAGGACTGGGCAGAAATGCTCAGGAGCTGCCATCTTCAGTGACATACCATCAGTGACGTCCTAAACACTACTGCATTACAGCTCAGCTTTCACCTTTTTAAAAATTTAAGACCTTCCATAATTTGACCCTATTCTGTTTAGAATCTAATTTTTTTTCCCACTACTCTCCAAATTTCACCCAGATTGTGTTCAGTCTTGCCTTTCCTCAAGTTTTCCTTCTTCCTTCACATATCCTTCTCTCTTTGCTCTTCGCTCTAAAGCCTTCCGATTTAGCTCAGGGCCTTCCTCTTTCCTGAATCATTTCTTTAACTCTGTGGTTAAGGGGAAAGGGCCCTACTCTGCCAGTTTCTGGTTCTGTTATCTCAGGCAAGTGACTTAATCCTCTGTGTCTCAGTTTCCCCATCTATAGAATTAGTGTAAAGATGGGACATACCTAAAGTGAGGATTTAAATAAGTTAACAGAGATAAAGCTCAAACATTGCCCAATATGCTCAGTGTTATCTGAGTGTCAGCTAGTAGTATGCCTGTCATTTATCTCCTGAATAATTATTGTATATACCATATAAATTAACACATAACTGCAAACTGTCATATTTTTCTTTTTGTTTCAAGTAGATTATTATAGTCAACTTGAAGTTAGGGTATTGTCATTCATTTACCCAAAGTACTGGCACATAATAGGGCTCACTAAATTCTTGAAGAATTGATTTTACATCTGCTTTAAGAATGGTACAGGACACATAATCACTGCTCAGATTGAAACCTCTGTGAAGGCAACAGCTATGCATATTGCTTAACAAGCATAGTTAAAGAATGTGCATAGTTCCTACATGGAACATTATGATCACCAGGACTCATTCTGTGCAGAGCTTATTAGGGTATCAAGTACACAAAAGTATTTAATAAATATTATTAGTAGTATTAATAGTAATAATGTTTGTTTTGACCATGTTATGGAATCTGTGTTCCCTTTACTCTTTTCATTTATGCATAGGGCACAACCAGATTATAGAAGAGGAGTGGCCATCTGTTCTAGATCTAGTCTTGAATATGGAATTTTGCCCTGGAGTAAAATCAAGTGCTTTGAGCATCTGGGCTGGGTATATGTGGCAGAGCTCAGGCTTTAAACTCTCCTAATAACTGAATAAAACACACAAGGGAAATTTCTAGAAGTATTTGCTCAGTTTGATTGAACCCTGATATAGGCTTGTTAATGTGCTTGTATGTGAGAGTCATATGCTCAATTCCATCTTCTCGATAGCTTTTGTTAGCTGATAAATAAATACAAGCCAAAGAACAACATTCAGCCGGAAGCTTAAATCATTTAATTATCAATATGTACTTGCTTAGTAAGATTTAGTATGATGATTTTGGCATGTAAATTTCTTGCTTCTTTAGTGAGAACATTTGTAGAGCATTATAATTTTATTTTTAATAGGTACAATTGTTAATGCTTTGGTACTGATCTACTCTATTATGATTTTTTTCTATTTTTTCCAACTTTATTGAGATATGACATATAACAATGTATAAGATTAAGCTATACAATATGGTGACTTGATACATGTATATATTATGAAATGTTTACTACAATAAGGGTAGTTAACACATCTTTAA